CCTTAATATACATATATATGTGCGTATATGTTTTGAAAGTCGTTTTAAGATGTATTTACAGAGCGTATTTCCAAAGAATGCACATTTGCTACGAAAGCCTAATCAAAATTTCGATATTGAGATCATAAAACACATTTAGGTATAATATATAAATAAATACTAGCTTTTACAACAAAAGCATTTCCCAGTGATGTGACATATGTAAAGAGTGAATTTGCTTGGAACAAACAGAAATGTCAATTAAACATCTTGAAGTACTGATAAATGATTTTAAACTATTTACAACTCCTGGCATAATATAGCCTCTATGTAGCTTAATTTATTTGTATAACTGAACCTGATCGGTCAAGATCTATCATTCAGTGAATAAATATAGAAACGATGGAAAAAATGACACTAAAATAAACCTAACTCTTATCTATCTCCTATTATTATTTGTAAGCAGATGTTACACAGACTCTAGCTTCTATTGTCAACATATATTTGTAAAGCAGAATTTCATGGGGAAAAAAAAGTAGGCTCACGCCAACCAAATAATGTGCATATGGGATTTCTATTCAACACCCTAATCAGTAGTATCATACACACTACATATGTGTTCAAAACATATGGGGATGGCTTAAAAATAAAAAGGAAGGGTTTAGGTTTTCACCTGAAGCCTAGATAACCTTTTTTTTCGCACAATAAATATATATCTATCTATTATTTCAAATGTACATTTTCAATCGAATCGACACACATTAAACAATAAACGCCTTTCAACATAGAAAGAAGTCACTAGTGATTTGTATAATAAAAAATTGAAAATTGTTGTTAAATTGCAAATTATTAAATCAAATGTTCAATGAGTTTTTTTTCTCTTGCCTTTTTAAAACAAAACATATTGTCTCTCTGGTTAAAAAATTACACCTGTTGCAAAATTTGTTTGTACAATGCTTCTGTATTTTGTTTGTTCAGATTACACTTTGAGAGAAAAAATGTACATGTACATATGTACATATAGATATCATAGAACAATTGGGTATGATTGTTGATATTGAACTAATGTTTTTTTTGTTTTGTCTTTCAAAAATGAAAGCAGCTGTTCAAATTTCAAGAAATGTTTTTTTGATGAAATAAGTGCATAACTTGGTATGATGTTTATATGTGATTTCTAAGACTTTCTCTTCCATTGTGTTCATAATTTACTAGTCATAGTGTGGTGCGAGCTACTTATAAGTAGTATATGGCCTGAGTGTAGGCGTAATGTCTGGCAGCAGAAGATGGGGTAAGATCAAGAAAGGAAGAGTGGGAACACAATGGCATTTGTATGAAACGCATGAATAGTGAAATGTCAGACAATGGATTGATGTTTGCAACAGGAATAGTCCAGTTCGATATGATGGATTGATATTTTGCAAATTAAAGATTTACGATATGGTTTTCCTATTTTAAGAATTTGAGATAAATGCAATTCGGTTGCTCTCACCTGTGTTCTCCTTCACTACAATAGTATTTACGTATAACTCTGGTTAGTGCCCCTCTGGGATTACTCCCAGTCCCAGGCCCGTATAATGGAGGACGTTTGGGCACGCGGCTAGAGATTCTATCCAGTAGAAAAACAAACTTGCTAGAAAAACGGTAAGTCAAAATAATAGTTCTCTGGTTGTTGGCCTAAGCGTGAGTAAGCAAGTGAGAAAGTATTTAGATATGATGTCTTCACTAAGGCTAGGTGATATGACTGAGTGAAGTTAATGTTTTTAAAGTCATGACTATTGATAAATAAGTCGAAAACTACTACCTTACTTCTTGATAATTATTACTTATGTATAACTGTTTTCACAATCAAGTTCCTTTTGAATTAGTCATCATACAATTATTCTTTTCAGAGAAATCATCGATAGATGCATGCAACTCAAAGCAAAATAGACGGCGAAACTCATCTAGACGTGTATAAATTTGTTGCCAAATATTCTATGAAGATTATATCTTAGTATGCAGAGTTTCGTGGACTTCATATGCAGTGATTAATGGTTAGAATTAGTTTAATCGGCTTAATAAATTGTAGTGCCTCCACATATATTCAAGTTTGCTTACATTTAATTTTGTTAAGCCCTTTCGATTAATTTATTTAACCAAGCCATTTGTATTGCAGCAATTTGTATGTACCATTCTTTCTTATTATTGTCTGGTTTGTATGAGCTCACATGACGTGTCCCACTTGTCATTTGATATTGTCAACTATTCGTCGCTTTTATTCATGTGTGCCTATTTCGCTAGTCGCATGTCTGCCTTATTTCTATCTGACTATATATTCTTAGTCATGCTCTATTTCTTTGAGTTGGCTCATTAGCCTTCTCCAACGCGCTTCTCCAATTCACGTCGTCTCAACCCTTTTATTCACTGCTTCTCCGCTTCGCTTTGTGGTGTATCAAAATAAACATATTCATCACTCCGAGTTCACCTTCTGATTTTTAAACCGTCAGACGCTATTTGGCAACGATTGTCTGAACGAGTTAATTACCGAGCTTAAGAACACGTCGAAACTGACACACAAAATATCTGTCCAAATATGATTTTAAAATGTTGTACAATTACTTTATCCTAGCACTTAGCAGAAAAATTAGCAACTTAAAAGGTTTGATAAAATCAACTTTATTCCATTTTTCATTGGGTTTGAGTAATTCAACAGCTACAGTTTATATATATATATATATATATATATATTCCGTTTTGCAGTAAAGTTATCTAAGCATTCAACTTTCAAGTATCAAACTACAGATTCGATTTGTAATCTGGGATTAGTCTTGTGTTTTCGATAATCAGTCAGTCAGCACTTTTGAATGCTTCAGTGTAAAAGAGTTGTTGAACAGGATTAATTTGATGTATCTTAGGTCACTAAAACTCAAACTGACAAATTTTCATGTCTTATGTATTACATTACAGTTAAATTGAATTTCTTTTTAAGATGTATCTAGATTATTAATGAAGTACTTTTTTGGTATAACAGTTACTTACATGTTTGATTGAATTTTCACAAATGTTTTAGATTGCATGTCGTTTGATACAAATTTAATTGTTAGTTTAATGAGTTTCTGGAGTTTTTGAAGTTTCATAGTTAACATTATGGACTGAACGTAGTTAGACAACGATTGTACGAAATTCTTCAGTTTCGCACAGTTTATACTCTACCATTGATCGAAATAAAGACTTTAGTGTATTATTGTAAGTGTTTAACTTACAGACTACCGGATCTACATTTAGTGGCTTACATCTCTAACTTCGATCAACTTCCTACACTGACCCGACCATTTTCCATGGTCTCAGTAAGTAACTATGTCACATTTGATATGATCATGGCTTCTTACCAAGAGTAACGGAATAATCTCTCAGTCTCAATTATCAGTGAGCACATGTTCATTATCAGTACAGTGGGGTTCGTGAATACTGCTGAACTTCTTAATATTCTATATCATAAATTGATCGTGAGTAAACAAATACTGATTACAATGAAACGCGTACACTATAAGATCACTGCTCAGTGATATAGATAATAAATAGCAGTCACAAATCAAAGGTCATGAGTTTGATCCTTGTCAGGATTATTGATACGTAAAGCTTAAAAGTTTCCTGGTTTCGAAAAGTTGTCTAGCTAAGGTTACAGTTAACGTATTCATTCCTTTTCATTGGTAACTTGAATTAGGAGCTGATATATACCGAAAATTATGTAATAAAATTGACTCACTTGTATTCCTGGTAATGTACGCGGAATTTGAACAGCCTCATTAAATCTTGCCATTCTTTTGACAGAACCTAGAAAAGTAGCAAGAAGAATGAACTCATTTCATGCTTAACAAATTGAATTGGTTTAAGTGAACAATTATCATTACTAACAGTTGAGGTCATATTCAGTGTCATTATGACATAATGAACACTATGATTTTTAAATCCCATTGATATTTTATGAGATAAAAACTTGTTTATGTCCTGTCAAGCGCTATTATCACTACACAATCCTATGATTAATACTCACTAAATTCTAGCAGAAATTAACAGATATCAATGATTAAAAAATTATAAAAATTATTTGTATTTAACTGACAGTAAGCGATGAAAAACTCCACCTGGAGCGCCTCTGAGGCTACTACTGGTCCCAAAACCGGATAAAGGAAGAGGGTGTGACATAATGTTAGCGACCCAATCCCGTAAAAGTCCAACTCGCTCAAGAGATGCTAACAAAAAAAATAATTCGTCGGTCGGCGGCCTATGCTCCATTAGGGGTAACAGGCATAAATAAGTAAGAAAGTAAGTTTTACCGAAGCTCGTTTTGCTATAAACATTAGAAAATTAGACTTACATGTACCTAAAAAAAACTTTCTATACCGGTAATTTTATTCTGAGTGTAATTTCTTCCAGTTACCATTTCATTTTATTAAATGTTATTTCCCTGTTATACGGTATAATTGTTGTATATACATATTGTTGTATACATATAAATCACTGTCTTCAACGAACTACAGTATGTACGAAAACATTATCAAAACTTTTTCTTGTCAGAATACAACGATCCATAGCATCACTGCTATTCAATATCCAGTGTCGAAAGCATATTTGCATCGATATATATATATATATATATATATATATATATATATATATATATATATATATTTATAAGAATGAAACTATTGGCAAGAAGATCACTTGATTGAACCACGTATCGTGTGTCTCCAGGAAATTTAACTGAAATATGGAGCGAGTTACTATTGAAAAAATGAAAATTGATCTTACACATGTGAAGTGATGTTATACAGAATAACCTTTTTATTCTTTAGAAATAAACGTTTCCACCGAACTTCTAGATAATTTTTTTGGATTCTAACATGTTAATAAATGGCATAGCGCACTTTACGCCTTCAATAGAATATCCATCAATTTGATTTTGATTATTTACGATTTAAACTGACAATGTACATTGGGGGCGTTCTTTATGAACCTGCTTTTGACTAACACTGTAACAATCTGTTTGCTGTGGAACACATAACAATTGAATAATATCAACGCTTTCTCTTTCAAAAAAAAAACGAACATGAAATGGCAATGCGTAAAAGTATTAACATTATTTTACATGTCAGTAAACGTCAACCACGTTACTTATCATTTATTTTTATCCTTTGAGTAAATGTGAACCATTATTATATTAGATTCCTTTTTGCTACCATAATGGATTTATCCTACCGGTTATTCAGAAATAAAACTCACATTAAATCAACTTACCTAATTGTCGTTTCAGCTCAAGTATTGTTCGTTCCCATTCTTTTCGTTTTGCACTATTTGGAAACATTATCTCATAACGTTCAATGCCTTCTCTGGATAAAATTCAAAAAATTATGTATATATATACATATATATAGGGCTTAATATTACAGACAACAGAAACTGTCAGTTACTGGACATTATCAATCGTTTATATGATCAGAATGATGAATATTTGGAAATTTTGTCAAACGGTGAAATTTAGTCATTATGAGAATGGGACAAATATCACCTATGTAACTTGATGATGAACACCAAATCTCATGAACAGATTATGGTTTGAAATGTAGACCACTGTTAATAATTTGAGAAACACTGTATTTACTGTGAAGCCTAATTGTCTTTGATATTTTTGAAACTGATAACAACCAAGTTTATCTACTACGCTTTTGTAAACGAAAGATAGGATTCTAACTAATCGGTACATATTCTAACTGTTATATATGAGGATACTTTCGTAAAACTTGTGTTCTTTACAGCCCTTCATTAAAAACATATTGTCGAGTATTTGAAAGTATACTATGCTGTCAACCGATAGTAACCTTGTTTGTCATTGAAAATGTAAAACCAACGTGTTGCAAATAAAACTGAATGTGAAATAAATGAATATTTTGTTAAATAGGTAATCAGAAATCAGGTAGAATTTCTATTCAGGATTTAGAGTCTGGGATTCGAACTGGGTTTAGAAATAAGAATGAAGTGTTAACAATTACAAAATACAAGTAAGAAATTTAGTAAACAGTTGTTCAGTAACGTTGTACGGATAAAAATATCTAAATTTGCCTCTGATGAATCTTCGTTATACTGATTAAGTATTTCATTGTCGATCTATTTTCAATATAAATGTAACTAAAATTTGTGATTATCAATTTATATTACGGGGTTGTGAAGATTGTTAAGTTACACATTTTTGAAACCATGAATCGATCAATGTTAGACAACCATTAGTTTTTTTCTTGTTGGTATTTTTTCGCTCCCACAGTAGGTTGTTTCAGGTAGTGTTCAGATCCTTTGGTCGCTTCACTTATCTTGGGAGTTTCATCAGCACTGATGGCCTGGTGACTGAACAAATCTCAGCATGGATACAGAAGGCCTGGTTGGCTTTTGTTAACTTGCGTCACTTATAGCGTAGGTGAGATATCTGTTTACTAACCAAAGGACGAGTCTACTGTGCAGCAGTTCGCTCCATCCTACTTTATGAACGTGAAACATGACCGGTAAGAGTTGAGGATATTCGTAGATTATTAGTATTCGATTATACATGTCTTCGAAGTATTGCTCACGTATCTTGGGAAAAACTGTCTTTAGGAAACGAGTACTAGGTACGGATGACAGATCAATAGATGAAGTAATGAAACTTCATCAGTTGAGGTGGCTGAGACATGTGTTACGAATGCCCAACCATTGACTGCCTCGACGGGCAATGTTTTGTGGTGTAGGAGTAGGTTGGAAGAAAGCTAGTTGTGGCCAAACCAAAACCTGACACAAATCCCTGAAATCACTGGTAAGTGGAGACTACCTGGTTGGGGTCCATGAAACATTAGTAACCGATGGTTAGAGATCATGAATGATATGATTTAAAGTCGTTTTCGATGGTGCACGTGAATCCACTCTTTGTGTTCTCTGGAGTTCTAATCTTCTGAATTCCTCACCACCTCTACTATTTTCTTTCTAATTTTTTCTCACTGAACTATACTTCTTGAGTAATATCTTCGAGTCCTAATTTTCTTCATTACTGATAATACTTCTACTATCTCTACTACTTCGGTATTGGAATTATCAGTTGCGTCTCTGTGCTGCTAATGTAGTTTGGCAACTTGAACTTATGCACGCACGTACGAAGATCTACGTTGTAACTGACTGACTGACTGACTGTGGGAGAGAACAAACGAGATTCCAGTGTAGAAAGAAATAAGGAAGAAGTGCTTGTAGTGGATAGGAGACACATTGAAGTAAGCATTCTACTAAGTCACAAGACAAGTCTTCACTTAGTGTTCTCAAGCTCAAAGGAAAAGAGGAACAAAAAGAGACACAATACACTGAGAAATGGATGAGAAGAATGATAAAAAATTGGACGAAACTGGAAAGGGTGGATTAGGACAGATTAGGTTGAAGAATACTGGTTGGCTGCCTATGCTCTATTGGGCATAACAGGTGAAAGTAAATAACTAAGTTTTTATCAAGCTAAAGGCTGATCATCATTTTGTTATGAATTCCTTGTAACAGTTCGTTAGACTCTATATATAAACTCTGATTAGTTTTTCACAAGTGTAAACATTTTTCATTCATACCTATTTCTATCCATGTTATTTGAAAGCGTTATGAAAGGATTTCGACTAATTTATTTAACCAAGCCACTTATTATAGCAATAACTTATATGTAACATTGGCTTTTACTATTGTCTGGTTTGTATGAGATGATACAACTGAATATTGCTTACACGCCTACGCGCATATTCATTCTATTCACTTTAATGTTAATCTCTTAAATGTCTCGATGACTCGATATTTCCCTATGTATATATACGAACAATTTAATCTTATTAATTCATTCGCCGATCCACTCATTCGCCCGCTAGTGTGCCTGTCCTGCCTGCTTGTGGGTCTGCCGGTCCATTTTATGGTGTGTTAAAAATAAACGAATTCAACACTTCGTATTTGCCTTCTGATATATAACCGCCAGATTGCCTAGACGAGCGAATGACGAAGCTTAAGAACACATTGAAATTAGCCACCACAATAGTTCGAAATATAATTACACCTACATGTATATACTACTTACTTGCTAGTAGCTGTAAAAATGGACGTATTACCGGGCATTGGGGTTGTTGCATTTCTGGCTGTACGTAAATCTTCAAGTTCTTTTTGTATAGACATGTACATTTTACGCACTACAGCATCTAGATCCTAATAGTTTTTCAAAAAAAGATATCATAAATCAATCGGAAATTATAAACAAATATGAAAATTGAAATTTGAAACATTTGAAATAGATATATATATTACAGTTTGTTTGAAATACTTGGAAGAAATTACTAGTTCGCTGTATGATTCGTTTAAGGTAAAAATGTTTCCTCCGCAGTGTTCAGATTTGACATCTTACTTTGCATAATATATTCAGTCAATTACTTGTGTGTCGGTAGAGAATAATTTGTAATTTAATATTCTAAAACCACAACAAAAAAATTCTTCAAATATTGACATTTAGATTTAGCGTGAACACAAAAAATATGAATGACAGTTGAAATGACAGTTGTTAGACGATTAATGTAAGCTATTTGTTTTTGTACAGGTTTGTATAAATACAGAGTTACAGAATATTATCTTAGAATTCCTTTATAGTGCAATATTTCGGTATGATATTTCAGTATAATACAAAGTCATAAGAAAATTTCCTATCCCATCACACATATTAAGAGCTTATAAAAAAGACTGGATGACTACTTTGTAAAACTAATATAAATAACTTGCAAGATAGGGTTGTGGAGATTGTTGAGAGTTACTTTCATTGAAATCATGAATTGATCAATGGTGGACCATTATTAGAAACCTAGAATCACAGGACGGCCGTTTCGTCCTGATACGAAACTCATCAGCAGTGCACATCCACGACATTTGCGCGAACGCCTAAACTCCGGACCACTGAGCAGGTATCTAACAGTTTTAATGTCTAACTTTGATCAGTTCACGGTCTAGCTCTAACTCATCAATTGTCTTCACTGAGCACTGCTTTACACCCGAATTAGTTTGAACTTCACTGGTCACGAGTTCTTATTAGAAATCCGAGAATTTTTTGACGAAGCTTGTCACTAGTGAGCACATAATAATTTGCATAATAAGACTGTCTAGATAAAAGTAACTCAATAGTATCCTGGGAGTCGTGGAAGTCGTGGTTGAGCACTGCTGATGAGTATCATACCAGGACGAAGCGGCCATCAAGTGCTTTCAGTTTTTTATTGGTGTTCTAACAATGATCGATTCGTGATTTTATTAATGTGAGGAAATAAAATATTTTCTATTGAATATGGAAACTTTGAGCACAACACGTAATTAAAATGTATCCTGAAAATAATCGTTCAACAAGCCGTGTTTTATCAGTTTGTGATATCATTGGATCTGGAAACAAACATATTTATTACTGTGGTGACTTTTTGTTCTCTAAGCAGTGGGGTTTTAGTTGTGGAGCTTTCATTGTTCTACTTCTGAACGCAACATCATCAGCACAAACTTTAGATAGCAGTGAAGCATTTGGATTTCTCCACGTTTGACCTGTAGCTGGTTCTGTTCAGAAGAATGATCAAAGCTCTACAACCAAAACAACATCCAGCTCAGAGAACGAAACTTCAAAATAATCAACCACTTGAGCCGCAAATTTTCTCCATCATTTCAACATTTATTACTCTATTTAAAAAAGCATAGATAATTTAGTGTATATAAATTTGTAGACTACATGGGGTATCTTCGTCAACGGTTATGAAAAGATCAGTTAAATCAAACTGCAGGTCATTAATACAGGTGTAACACTGGGACGAATATCAAGCTTCTTCCAACTAGTTTAAACTTATAAATCTAAAGTATATTTCTCAGGAAAATCATTAGCTTTTTGATATTTCACGTATTATGTTTAGGTAATAAACCTGAAAGTAGGTTTCATAAAATTCAAACAAATTTTTAATCTTGAAAATGTATTTCCAGTTTGTTGATAAGTTATTTCAAACTAAATGAATTGTAATTAATCTCAGTGAGATACATTGGGAAAATATTCTTCATCGTTTTAACTTTCGAAACAAAACTGTTAATTTACATAAAAAAGTATCAGTGGTTCTGTTTATTATACAAGAACCTCTGGTCAGTTAGGACTCATCAGTATGACGTACTGGTAATATTAAGTTAAAATTATACTGCTAATGAGACTCGAACTTTCATTACTTAGTTCAAGTCTGTATAGCTCATATGTGACTACTAAGGTTGTCAAACGGATGGGTTAGCGTTCGAATTCATCAAAAGAGGTATCACTGACCTCAAAAGTCTTGGTTAGCTTTGCTGACCAGAGTCACAGAAGCATGAAACCTGGGTTTAGGGTTTACGTATCGACAAGCCACAACTACTTAACACAATGAAATGATGAAAGAGATGTAGGATTACAGTCGGTCGCACTGATTTTTTATTGATAAGTTTCGATCAGTAATTGAAACGACTGGAAAACATCAGAGGTGGTCAGTACTCAAAGATCAATCAGTCGTAAGTTATTCCTTTTTCGTACAAACAATATAAATTACCATTAGCTCTATTTGATACTGAGAGGTGAGAGTAAAAAATATTTTTGGGAAATAATATTATTGCTTGACAAGCATCTTATTAGAATTAGATACAACGCCATTTTTGAGCATACACTATTTCCAAAAATATATCGATTATATTCTGTATGGTGATTAACTCAGTATCAAACGAATGAATTCAATGTGACTAATTCTCGGCATGATATTTTATGATAAATCATACAGACTACAATATATCCACCTATTTACTCATAGTTATCCCTCTCTGATCATCGTTATACTGATATATCCTGAGGTTAAGTGTTCACGCGCAAGACCGAAGCCATTGGGGTCGAATCCTGCGAGGAGCAGGAGTCTTAAATGCGCACCGCTGATAAATCCCATCTCAGGCTGTCCAGCGTTTCCAGGTTACTAATAATGTTCTATCAATGATCAACTCATGATTTAAATTTGTAAAATATTGATATACCGTTTGAAGTGTTCATATGCAGAATTTTTAGCATACTCATTAAATTATATAGCTGTTTGAACTGTCAACATTTACCCGTCCGATGATAAACCCTTTAATTTAGACAATAAATGTAAAAAAACATGATTGCTTCATCCTATGTATGTATGATTGTGTGTACAAATACCGTGACTTTATTTGAAGACATCCTATAATTCATCTAAAAATTAACACCATGATGTATGATTTTAATAATTTGGGCATATTTATTGATTTACAACTAAAACATAGTATGCGACAACTCGCCTACACTACAGAAACATGTATTTGTGTTTTTTATCATGTAAATATACATGTAGTAGTACATGTGACTACTTTCATAATGTCTAGCTTGAAGGTAAAAAATTAAACCTAGTCCAAAATCATCATATATCATCAACTGGAATAATACATGTGTTCTATCATAGATAGTAATATTCATCTCAATAAATCAATGGTTGGTTGTCTGTAAATAGGAAAGGTATTGTGTAGACTAATTCTCTGATTTATTATTTCAAGTTATTTATTTTGAAAAAAGCAATAAGATTTAATTTTGAAGCTAAGAACTACTGATGAGTAGTTTGTTATGCTAATTGATTGTGAAACTGTCTAGTCCTTCAGTTTGCATACGATTCTACCGATCAAATAACAGCAAACTCAGTAGTCTAGTTGATTTCACATCAAATAAAAACCGTCTTTCTAAAACTCATTGATCAAAAGTATTCGATAAATATCCTTGAACCTACAGTTTATTCGAGTTACCAAAGCAAGTGTTTTTGGTACCATTCAGATTAAACCAGCATTATCCAACTGCTAGAAGTCCTGTACTGGGATGAAACAGGTTACCGAATGTTATCTAATCAAACTTAATCCCTGATGTTAATTATAAAACTAAATAACCTCCAAAATTCTTATACACTAAGATAGTTTTTTATAAGAGAGAAAATGTTAGGATATTCATCCAGTATCCTAAGAGAACTATTAGTCAGTTCCTATTGGTTAATTTCTACTGGTCAATTTTATGATCCTCCTGCAAATGTTGTTCCCTATTGGTCGTCGTAACTGTCAATGTCACAGAATTGGATGCTGTTCCTATTCAACCTAACTGTATAAATACGCATTGTCTGTAACGTTTTATGACCCGAACCTGGACTCGGATCCCTAGTCCGTGATCCTGATTCTCTTCTGAACTCGGACCTCGAACTTTCTGGATGTTTTTAGAATACAGGTTCTACTTCATATCAAGTCTTCTTCCTTTAGTCAATGGGGGGTTTGTGACAATCAGATTAGAGTAGCATGTCGTGTCGCTCTCGTTTTCTGACTAAGGTAAACTCGTAATAATTCAAGCATAACAAATTGACCTGTTTACGTATATGAGTAACAGAAAATATAACTGATTACTTATAAAACGACATTTTGTACCTGATTGTATGTAATATCGCTTTAACAACACACTAACATTGTTACACTTACTTTTCCAATCTGACAAACAAAACATGGGAAATGTGTATCATGAAATCAAGTTTGGTAAAAGAGAAAAAGAATAAGGTTGAATGTTATTGATGAATTTTGGCATATGATTAGGAGGTTACAGAGAAAAAATGATTTATACACAATATTTTATATGTAAGTCAAGTCAAGTGAATGAATACCTCCTAATAAAATGGTATGTATTCTATGTAATGACTTGTTAGCGTGCAACAAATAAAAAATGTCAATAGTATATAATCATGGGTTAAACTAATTAACTGAAAATCAGTTGAATAGTAGTAAGACAAATTGAACTTTGATTGGATTTGTTGATTTCATTGCAAAAGTGTTAACATGGTGTAAACATGGTGAACTATTGTATATCTATATGTTAGATTATATTTTTTTTCTGGTTAGTGTTTTGTTGGCAAGTTAGTTTTTGACGGAATGGGGTCGTCAACCCCATGTCCAACACTCCTCCTTTACCCAGATTCCAGTGGAGGAAGAAATCAGGAAGAAGCGGTGGAAGTGGATAGGAAACACACTACGAAAAGTACCTAACTGCGTCACAAGACAAGCCCTAACATGGAACCCTCAAGACAAAAGGAAAATAGGAAGGCCAAGGAACACATTACGCCGAGAAATAGAGAAAGATATGAGAGGAATGAACAAACATTGGACAGAACTGGAGAGGGAAGCTCAGGACAGAGTTGGTTGGAGAAAACTGGTGAGCGGCCTATGCTCCATTAGGGGTAACAGGCGTAAGTAAGTAAGTAATGTTAGATTATAAGTTACATATGAGTGAATAAACATAACTGAAACAACAGTCAAATAGTCTGAGGTGTTTGTGTTAGATTGTCTTTTATAGATTTATTCAATATATGAAACAAAATGACTATATGTGTGTAATTGAAACAATTATCTCAGTAATAAAGATTTAAATTATTCGAATGTTTGGTTAAGTAAATTCCTCTGGAACAGTTCATCAAAATCAGCTAACTTCGTGCTTAAACTAAATAGGAAATCATCTATACGCTTAGTAAATTAAACATTTTGTTACTCAAGTAATAATATTCTTTTAACATGATATTTGAACATCAAAATGTGCAATATAGGGTTGTGAAGACTGTTGAGTCACTTTGAAATAATGAATCGATTAACCTTTGACCTTTATAGGCAACCTGAAAGTAGAGGATGGCCTTTCCGTCCTGATACGGTACTCATGAACAGTGCGCATCCACCAATGGCTATCCACAGGAATTTAACCCAGGACCTTTAATATCGTGAGCGGACGTTAAAAATCTAGACCACTGACCCTGGATTCAGCGGCGTTATTATCTAACGTTAATCACTCCAAAATCTTGGGCCAATCCCATCCACTGTCTTCGGTGAGTACTGCTTCACACGCGAATAAGGTTAAACTCTACTGGTCACGATTTTTCACTGGAATTTGGTGCAGCTTCTTCACAGAGCTAGTCACTATTGAGCAAATGATAATTTTCGTTAAAGTGTTGTGGATATTGCTAAGTTTCAATGAAGTCATGGCCAGTGGAGTTCAACAATGTTCGGATGTGAAAGCAGTGCTCACTGAAGACAGTGTTTAAGGTTGCACAAGACTTTGAATTAATCGAAGTTTGACATTAACACCGTTGGACGTCAGCTTAGTGGTCCAGAAGTTAGGTGTTCGTGCACGAGACCGAAGGTCCCTGGATTCAATTCCTGTTGGTAGCGGGAGCACTGGACCCGCTCTGCTGGTAAGTCTCACACCAAGATGAAACGGACACCTATTGCTTTTAGGTTTCTAACAATGGTTTAACGTGAATCGATTCATGATTTCTTAAAAAACATCAAAACGTATCAAAATTTGGCTTTGATTTTAGATAATTCATTTAGATAATTCATTATAAAAAGTAACTAATTAGTAGTTTCTTAATAAATGTGAAACTCTGTTAAACTGTTTTTATGTAAATAACTTTATTTTAATTGTCATTTCATACTATCAAAAAAGTTTACAGATTAATACTGATAGTCGTAGATGAACTTGCGTATGTGATCAGTTTATGAATTCAATAAGATAGTAATGACTGACGGTAACCATCATTCAGTTTACCCATAAATAAATAAGAATGCAAAACTAGCTCTTTAAGTGATAAAATTACAAATACTCAATTTATTAAACAACCTCAGTCAGTTTACGAACGTCTACATAGTTTGTTCACTTAGATCCGTGTTTAAGTAAAACTTTGTCTTAGGAGAAACGAATTAAACCAGTCTCAGCCTGTGGTGCGCGCTTCTCATAAGTAGTATATGACGCGAGTGTAAACATAATGTCTGGCAGCAGAAGATGGGGAAAGATCAAAAAAAAGGAAGAGTGGGAACACAATGGAATTTGTATGAAACGCATGAACAGTGAAATGGCAGACAACGGATTGATGATGGATTAATGTTTTGCAAATTAACGGTTACGATATGGTTTTCCTAGTTTACTGAGTAACTTTGTAATTTTCGTTAAATACAATTTGTTTGCCCTCACCTGTGTTCTCCTTCACTACAAGCCGACAATAAGGATTTTTTGAAAGTGTTAGGAGTCATTATATCGATACGATATCCCATCCTAAACTGCTTACATAAATGGAAGGCCTGTTTGTACAATCTACTACCCAAAAGGTGAATACTTCATCGAAATTTCATTTGCAAAACAAGCGTATTCTCATCTCTCTTCTTCCGCCTAGCTTCTATTTCTCAAAACATTCAGAGCACTTTGTAAATCCGGATTCGAAAATCTTTGCTTCGACCGTAACTTCATGATGACAATCTGCTGAACATCCACTCCATACTACTTACAAGTTCTGCCGTGAGTAGTAAACAATACACTACTATTACTTCAGTCATTAATAAACACAGATAAACATGTTATATCTGTTGAGAGAGAGAGAGAGAGAGTAGATAAAGAGCTAAAATAAATATATCATCATCATCATATAAACCATCTTACACAATGTCGATAATCCAATCTCGCTGAAATATTTTCAATTTCAGCTAATAATGCTAGATCTTTTTTATCTTTTACCTCTTTATGTTGTCCAGTTGGTTCAGGGCCGACATCTAAACCTTTAGAAAAGTAATTAAAAAAAAACAGAAAAACAATGTTGATTAGTTAAATCAGTAGTATATATATGTATTTATTAGCAAAATAAAATGTATATATCTTTTGAAATACAAAATAAATTATTTCTTTGGCGTATCTCTAAATTTGCATTATGCGGTTGTGAAGATTGTTAAGTTACACATTTTTGAAACCATGAATCGATCAATGTTAGACCACCAGTGAAGTTCAACCTGTTCGGGTGTAGGCAGTGTCTACCGTAGACTGTGTATGAGGTTGCGCAACTCCGTGAATTTGATCAAGTTAGACATTAACACCGTTAGATACCGGCTCAGTGGTCTAACGGTCACGGCACTCTCGCACAGTACCGAAGGTCCTGGGTTAGAATCCTGCGAGGTGCAGGGGTCGTGGACGCGCACTGATGAGGAGTCCCATACCAGGACGAAACGGCCGTCCAGTGCTTCCAGGTTTCTAATGGTGGTCTAAAATTGATCGATTCATGGTTTCAAAAATGTATTTCTAAATGTATCTAATTGCTGATTGTTCGTAAAATTGTAGAAATTAATTCAAAGAAAGTTTGAATTGCGGAAAAACATATCAATGCAGCATTGATTGACGCGAGATAATCTTGCAGCTTCAGTTCTACACATTAATCCTAGATCCAGGACTCCTTACAATCAATCATCTCTAACCACATACCACTGAGAAATGATGTTTTTCTATGATTTTCCGACATATTTCAATAAAACATTTTCGCTTTCCATTACACATTAACTGTGTCTGGACTAGAGCAGAGATAAGGAAGCACTGGTCAGGTACTGTATGCGACTCCACAGTAGTATAGATTCATAACTTCACTTAGGAAAGAACTTTTCTCGCAGAAGTGTACCATCAAAAAAGTTTCACAGTTATAACTTGAATTAATCTATGACTTCATGTGGTCATGATTTCAATTTGAATTGGGGAACAATCTTCATTTCGATAATCAAACTAACAGACGTTCAATTTCCATTTTTATTAATTCTGTTGACTTTGTAATTTGACATTTATCAGACATATTAAATCTTGGATCAATGTTATCAGTAAAAGCATATCTCTTTATCAATTAATTTCACAGTATAATGTGTTGACTATATTTTCGAAATTCCTCTATTTCAGACAATCAGACGGATAGATAGATAGATAGATAAGTAGAAAGAATAAATCTTACTTCAATTTTAACATTCTCTCTAATAGACTTTAGATTTTTATTGAGAACATTCACTATGGTAAACATTCACTAAGAATATTAACACGAAATATTGTTAGTAATAATGATTACAATGTTAAAGTGAGATTATTTTGGACAATGGAATTAGTTAGTATACTAGAAATCACTCAAATTCTAATAAATTTAAGTACACACACACAGAATGAATCAAATAGGGTTGTACATAAACGATGGCAACCTAAATACTAAAGCATGCATTTGATGTTATAAAGCTTACAATACTTTTTGGCAATAAGATTCTCTATGATAATTTGTGTCAGTTGAAGTAGTGTCATTCCTATAGAGATTTGATAAGAAATGGAAAAAAAGCATCTTAACTGATGAATACTGTTTTTTTTTATAATAAAATGAATTCCGTTTGATTAACTAGGCAGACATCATAACATAAACTGAATTAGTATAATTACTATAGGTGGATGGTGGCTAGCAGTGGAATTCAGGACGTAGGTTTTGTTCTGCTTGGGACCCATCAGCTAGACAGATGTTTATGCATCAACTCTGGGATGCAGGTGTATATTCAGTTCCAAATTTCACTGCCCACCACCATCCACCGATGCCAATCATGTTTGTGATTTGATGACAAAACCGAGACCAACCGGAGAGGATGTAAATATGCCTACTGTTGTACTAATCATCAAGAGGTAGATACAAACAGCCATTACGAACAAATGAAATAGTATTATTTCGTAAAGATGTTTTATGTAAGCAATCTACGGGTGTATAACAATCATAGGTAGGATTTCAACGAGTTCAACACAACGATTACAAGATAATTTTTTGAAGATAATAAATTTATGTGTTTTGATGGAAAATTATCATTAGAATTAACCTTCTGACCTTGAACAGACATTTTTATCATTTACATAGGATAAGAAAATGTTATGAAATCTTTCTATTAGAAATAATGCATTTAGACTGTAAAAAATATTGATTGAACCCCTAAACGCTTTATTTATTTTGAATGGTCAGTGAATTTTTTTCACGAAAGACATAACAATACGAACAATGCTTTGTTTTCGAACACCTGACCAACTTCTGTCTTTCATGTATAAAACATTCAAGTCGACAAGTTCTTTGTAAATTTTAATTCTTTGAGAGAAAGTGAGAAAAACTGCATTATGCAAAATAATTTGTAACTATAGTCAGGACTATTGAAAAGGAATTTTTTATCTGTACTCTAACAAATTAGTTTAAATCATTTATTTACACCTTGTTTATATGATAAACGTCTTTTGCCTACTATTTTTCATCATAGAGATAGTTGTTTGTTACTGAAATCGTCAATGGTTAGACCACTATTAGAAACCTGCAAGCACTAGACAGTTGTTTTGTTCTGGTACGCAACTCATCAGCAGTACGCATCCACGACCCCTGCAGCCCGCAGGATTCGAACCCAGGATCTAACCACCGGACCACTGAGCTAGTATCCGACGGTGTTAATGTCTAACTTGATCAATTCACTGAGTTGCGCAACCTCATAGACAGTCTACGGTAGACACTGCCTACACCCGAACAGGTTGAACTTCACTGGTCACGACTTCCCACTAGAAGTCGGAGAAGATTACTCACGAAGGTAGTCATTAGTGAGCGCAGGTAATTTGCATTACGGGGTTGTGAAGATTGTTAAGTTACACAATTTATTTTGGATGAGTGCTGCTGAGGAGTCCCATACCTGGACGAAACGGCCGTCCAGTGCTTCTCCAGGTTTCTAATGGTGGTCTAACATTGATCGATTCATGGTTTCAAAAAAAAAGTTAAACATTTATGTAACCTACTTTTCAATATTCTTAAGAAGATAATTTATTTTCTAAAGGTTTTTCTGTTGTTATTGTTGTCAAAATGTACACACTTTTACAGCTTTCTTTGTAATCACCTATATATATATATATATATATATATATATATATATATATATATATATATATTGATATATTCTTATTCAACAATGTAATGTACGTTCTAGTTTGTACTAGTACTTTTTTATTCTTTCAATGTTACACACATTCTGTAAACTTGTCATTGGTGAAAAGAAAGGCGGAAGTCAATAAATAATAATAGTAATAATAAGTATGTTTGTATGTTTCTTTTTTGTTGTTGATCTAATTAGATTATTATTCCGAGATTAACAGCAGTTATCATCTCAAAGCGGTGTACAATGGAATCTTTTTCTTTTTCTTTACTGACATTGAACAATGAACATTCATTCAATAAAACAAAGAAAAACACACACTGACTTGTAGGGTATATCTTTTTTAGGGCCTAGAAAAAAAATGTACATATTGTTTAATGCAAGTTTTGGGCAGTTGTAAAAAGAATCTTTTTTTGCTCTCTCATCAATAAAGTGATTAGTTTGTGGAATAAAGATGAAAGAAACCAGTGATTTTCGGAATTGTAGTAGTAATGACAAGTATCAATCAATAAGGGTAGTAGGTAAACTAATCGCTTGTAAATAAAAACTCTATATAATGAAATGAATAAATTATGTACAACAAGGTAATTCCTCAGATTTGTAGCTCTTCTTAGCGTTTATATAACATTTGATCATTGTAAGTTTCTTTTATAAATAAATGCAAATGATTTAAATTAGTATATTTATTTTCTAAGTTGAACAATTATACAAAAATGCGTTAGTATGGAGCTCAAACAGATAGCCCATTGGTCCTCAAATCGAAAGTTGGAGAAGGACATGGCTAAATGTGAATTCACCATAAATGGTGAAGAATTATCCAAGTTTGATACGTTAGTGAATTTTGGGTTCAGGTATTTATTCTCCTCACCATAAATCTCCAAACAAACAATAAACTGTCAGCGTCTTTTTCAATGCATAATTGGTAACTTTTACAACAATGAGCCATTTATTTTATTGTGTAAAGTAGTTGTTTGATCATCCCTGGAATACAACACCTAGTCTATTCTTAGAAGTGTTTACATAAAGGTCAAATGAATGCAGGAATCTGTTCAAGGCCGATTTACATTTCGCATTCTTGGGACGAGTTGTACCTTTAATTACTAACTCAGATATAATAAACTTGGAATTAAACTGAATCCAATCTTTTTCTTCAAAGTACCTAGTAAAGAATCTTTTACAACCAATGAAGCAATTCAAAACTCAGAAATTCTGAATTATATCACCCGTAGCTCTTATTCTAAATATTCTCTCTATATAAATTACGTTAACAGTAAATTATCTAGACTGTAGAGTAGTTTACCACAATCCATCAATGAGTTATCGTTTGTTCACAGAATTAGCGCTTAATTCATATCTGGGAACGCCTTAAATATGCTTACACTTGTGAGTATATATTCCCGCAAGTAAGATTTTCAAGACGTAAAATATGTAATTGCTTCTATTTACGGAGCACATTAACTGAACCTCATCAGCTGCAGGTACCTTATACAACAACACTAGAACAGCAGATCATGAAATAATCTGGGACATGTTTTATGACAGACCCCACTGACTAACTGACCGAACTGCTGTAATAATGATTACTTCCATTCTTTCGTGCCTTTTTATTTGCGTATTGTTTTCTCTAACAATAAGCAGTAATTTCATTGGCCACATCACTGACTATTTTGATCATCTATTCATATAATTGTCGTAATATATTAAATTAATCATTGCTCTGGTTGTTAGAAGCACTGTAAGTATATAGGACATATATTGGCGAAATCACACAGCTCCATCTCAAGAGAAGCCCTCACCTAAAATTCGTAAGGCCAATGGAGAAGAGGAAAGTGAAGGAGCACATTACATTGAGAAATGGAGAAAGACATGAGAAGAATGAATAAAAATTGGACAGAACTAGAAAAGAAGGCTCAGGATAGAGTGGAATGGAGAATGCTGTTCAGCGATGTATGCTCCATTGAAGGTAACAGGCGAAAGGAAGTCAGTAAAGTATATACTGATAATGACATTTTAATTTCCCATCTCAACAATGAATAAGCTTATAGAAGTTTTAGAGATTATTTCATAAATATTGTTAAAAGACAACTTTTAAAGTCTAAGTGAATGGAATTTAAGCCCGGAATTAATAATCTTTTTGTATTATTTTAATAAGTAAGAATCATAATTGTTGATGTCATGTTATTTAATGTCAATGACTTTTTCAGAAGATATATCAATACAATTCACTTTAAATTGCTGAAGTTAAATCAAGTGTATTGAAAGTCTGATCGGTGGTTATCGAATTTCGTAACTTTAATCTGTTGTTATTTGTTTCAGAGATACTTTTGCTATTGATGAAGCACAATTTAAATCATAATAACTCTATGTAGAATGTGCTATTTTCATGAAATTCCTATGCGTGAATGTATGAACCGATTAATGTTAGACTACTACTGGGAACTTAGAAGCACTGAACGGCCGTTTCATTACTAGCAGTGCGCATCCATGACTAAGGCTCGAATCCCTGACCTTCGGTTTTGTGTGTGAACGCCTAACCTCTAGACCAATAACCCTGCGTTCAACGGTGTTGGTTTCTAACTTCGATCTGTCCATAGTGTTGTACAACCTCAACCACCGTCTTCGGTGAGCAATGCTTCACACCCGACCAGGGTTCAACTCCAGTGACTACTACTTCTCACTAAAGCTTGGAGAAATTTCCTCACAGAGGTAATCACTAGTGAGCATATGATGATTTTCATTAAAAGGTGTAGAAGATTGTCAACTTAGTTTGAAATCCTGAATCGATCAACGTAATACAACCATTAGAAGCCTGGAAGGCATTTACACCGTTGGATGTAGGCTCAGTGGTCCAGAGGTTAGGCATTCAAGAGCAACACCGAACGTCCTGGGTTTGCATGCTGTGAGTAACAGGAGTCGTGGATGCGTACTGCTGATGAATTCCATACCAGGATGAAAAAGTCAGGCATCTAGGTTTCTAGTGATGCTCTAAGATTGATTTTTATGATAGTAAAGTAACTCAACGATCTTCACGACCTTTTTATTTCATAAAATTAAGTAACGTTTGTAAACATTTCTTAACTCTACGATAATTTTGTTCTTCTGTATTCACGAAAAAATGTTTAAACTATCACCTATACCTTGGTTTTATGTGGCAAATAAATAAAGATTTTAGATTATCGTTAATACCTTTAGTGTAAAAGACTATTTCATTTGCTAGTTGGAAATAGTTCATAATTTTCTAACGTTCAAAATACAAGAGACGTGTAATATTAAATGAAGTTGTTTCAAGAGATAACGTTAGAGGAAATAATGCAATTAAATAGCTTTAACTAGTTCCTAGTTGAAACTACATTTTAGAAAATAATCATAAAATTGTGGTAACACTTGAACAACAGTCAAAAATTAGAACAACATAGGTGTAAGCAAGCAATAAAGTTGTTTTCAATTAGGTCGTAGTCATCAGGCTTTAATCTCTAAGACACATGAATATTTATATGTGAAAATGTCAAACCAATAAAGGCAATTTGAGGCAGTAATCACAATGAAATGAAATAGATTACGTCACTACACATGACAGGCGGAAAAGTACAAGTTGATAGTAGGAGGACAAGTGAGTACTGATAGTAGTAAGAATAATAAAATACGATAACAAAAGTTCGTATTAATAGTTCAAGATTGGAAATAGTAGTAGGTCAAACGTGGATAAATAGACTTAAAATAATCATTACAAAACATTAAAACCATTAACTAATTAGAAGTGTGAAGCATATGAACGGAGTAAAGCCTGATGATGCCGATCTAATTGAAAACAACAATATTGTTCGCTTATAATCTGTGTTGTTCTAATTTTCACAATGGAACTCTTTAATAATTTAATAATTTTCATACATATTAGAAAAGTTGAAATCTATTTTAGCTCAGTTGATCGACGGATAAGGCATCATTATTTGGATTGATAAAACTGGATTTGAGTTTCATTGTGGATATTGGTACAAAGATACAAATAAACCAAGGTGATCAGTCCCAAAGAAAATGAAAATAGTGTCCTGGACCTCACTAGCTAGGCACTACATGTACATAGTCTGATTGGGAATGAACTTCACGTTATCATGTCATATAAGATTATCGTAATCAGTAAATATGATCAAGTTTTCGTTCATTTACTCAATAAATTGTATACATTTTTGAATAATTTTTGTTGTAGTGTAGAGTTGATTGTAGAGATGACTTTTGTAATACTGTAACTTCTCTATTCATTGTTCACTAACTGAATTACATGTAACACGCCATCGTAACACGGTGGAGTGATATATCTGTTAAAGAAAGCCTTGTATCAATTATGGCTTTGTGAGTACTGTAAGCAGTAGAAGCTTCAAAACCAAAATAATCATCCCCGCTTCATTCTCATTAATTCACAGGAACGATGTAATAAATCGCAAACGACAGTGAAGTCTATCTCCAACCATTAAACATTTAAATAAGAACATTAATATTGGTTGTTTAAATAAACAGCAACTCACGTGATTCAAGCTCAATAGCTTCAATGCCTAATCGATGATAGATTTTATACTTGATATTCTCAATTGCATCAATTCCACGAATAGACTGCCTTCAATTTTAAATGGAAAATAAAACAGGCAACAATTTATCAAATGTTTAAAATAATTTATTATTGCGTGATGATTGTTGAAATCATGAGTGGATCAGTGTTAGACCATTAGAAACTTGAGAGTGAGAGACCGTAAGTCCTGAGTTCGATTCCCGCGTGCGGTGGTCTTGGATGCGCACTGCTGATGAGTGCCATAACAGTACGAAACGGCCTTCCAATGCTTCCAGGTGTCTAATGTCAGTCTAACATTGATCGATTCATGATTTCAATGAAACTGAACAATCTTCACAACCCTATATTTTTGATAATTGAAAATATTACATTTTATTCTCTCAATTAAATTATTTTTTGTTTTGTAAAAATTTCGGGGAATTTTTTTCGAATACTGACAAATGTAAAGTTAAAATTCATTTGTTTCAACTAAGTCCATTATCACTGATTTCAGCTACTTTTAGAATTTAATTTTGAACCAACTAATGAAAGCTTTTAAATGCTACCATGTAACTCACTACCTAAGTGGAGTTGTACGCGGCCACTTTCAGGACTGATGCAATGATTTTAGGAATAATATTTCTAAAGACTGTTTGTTGACTTATTTAACGGTTAATTATCTAAAAATAATTTACATCAAAATAAAATTCAGTATAAACTGTACTGTGTTGAATGTAATCATCTTTTGTGAACATAATTGATATGCTCGTCAACTGATATGCTTGAATGCTATTCACGAGTTCACCTTAGTCGGTAAATGAGAGCGAAGACAAATGATCCAGTGACAGGATAGGCTTTTCTAATTCGACTGTCGCCAGCACTGCTAACTAAAGGAAGAAGTCTTGATAAGACGTACAGAAATGTATTCTACAGGCACCCAGAAAGATTGAGTTTGTTAAGCACAAAAATCAAGCTTATTTATATAATGATGACAACGTCGTCGGGAGAGCCACAAAATAGCGTACTAAAAAAAATCCGTCAACCAATGACAGTCAAGGATTTTCTGAGTGGGAAATGTAAGCTGAAGGTGAACTAAGCGTTCTATGTGCGAAAACATAGAAAAATTCAAAATTTCAGGGATAAATTACAAAATTAAGACCTTCCAAGTGAATTCTGGGGATCTAAGGTCCCCAACAATTACAGCAGTTATATACTACTAGTTAGGAAATAAAACATTACAATACACAATACAAGGCAACCTACAAACGAAGAAAGATTGGTTTCTTTATCACTTGACTTCCTCTACGTCTTGCAACTGTGAAAACAATTTGATCTGTGAACATAAATATACAAACAGGATCTTTTCGTTCCTAAATTATAGAAAACAAAAGAGAAATTACTCAAGCATTACCAAATGATTGAATAATTTCGATAGTAATAAAATGTGTGTTTTAATTTTTAATACATTGTATAATAAGTAGAAAGTAGGCGTGACATCAGCTGTAGATAATCGTTGTGGTGTCATACATAATGTTCCGTCATATTCGACTGACTTAAAAACATGTAAATAGCTGGTTGAATCGGTTAGAGTGTTAGTCACAATGTATTTTCATTCATACTTTTCCAACTGATACTCATAGGTTGTAACAAAAAATGTTTCTAAAGGTATTCAAAATGTTTAAATTCATTAAGTTCGCCTAATCATTCAAATTTGACCTTGAGGCCAATTAAAACAAAATGTTTTATCAGGCTGTGAAATATCCAGATATGTTTATATCTGTTCAGAAGCGCTAACATGTATAGTCTGTTTTCTCAAAGGGATAGACAACTAATGCATGTTAATTAAGTCTGTACTTTTTCAATCATTTTCCAGTTTAAATTAATCCATCATTCTCTCATTTTTTAAGCGTATACTCACGAAGATGGTAGGAATTTTCGGTGGCCCGCGATCTGGCTCCGATATTTAATAATGACCGGGAATCCTATTAAATAAATCTCATCTTCATTTTCCGTATATCACATACTTAGGCGAACCTCGCTTGTGCAACCGCGGTAATTAAAAAGCCAAATACAGATTCGGTTGGATGAGTTTACTTAAGACAATCATTCATGCAGTCATGATGATGAAAAGTATACAAGCGAAGCGAAGCGGAGAATTCGGGTGGACCTACTCCAGCTCAGTGAAGCATGATGGAAACAAAGTAAATCAGACATGTAATAAGGGAAGAAAGTGTGAACATACACTCGAATAAAAGCAACCAAGATATGAGCAAATGATTGGCAAGGTCAAAAGACAAGTGAATAACAACTTGAGAATAGTGGACCAATTAATTTGCCCTGTAGGCTCGGTTTAACAGTACACACATTACAAATGCGGTATATATTCACAGTAATGGGAGAACACTGATACAAAATGCGAGAAAATTCTAAAAATAATCTCACTTTTAATAAAATGAAGTGACTTTTAACAAAGATAAAAATTATACATTTCATTTATTTTAATGTTGCTTAACAAAGAAACTGTTTTTATACAATAAATAATCAGCACACTTACCTCGACTGAAACAATATCATGTCGAACATATTGACGTGTTGGTGTTAAAGTCTAATAAAATTTAAATGTGGTAAAGAAAATGAGATATTGCGTTAAAATACTGTTTAGAGTTGTTACTTTAACTAAAAAGCTAATGGAAGTATTCCTAAAAATGTATATCAATGTGACATTACAATGATCAAATAATTTCCCTGTATATTTCAGACGCGATATAGAATTAGCTAATCCTAACGGACATTGAGCTTGGAATATCTATACATTTGGTAGAGTTATCATGCCATTTCACTACACAAAAACGAAATTGTCAAAAAATCTACCATAACAGTAGATGTAGTTACATTTTAAATGGCAGTCAGAAAAACAACAAAGGGTGAACAATGCAACTCGAGAAGGAAGGATGAATGGATGAGAGAGAAAAGTATAAGATAATTTAAAACTTTAAATCGAAAGGAAGACATGTACTTCATTTTGACTCGTTATGAGACACGTCACTCAACATATTCAATCAATGATTACAATTGTTGTGATGATATCAATCTGATGGTCTATACCTACCAATACGATTCAGTTGAACAGTAAATAACTTAACAATTTACCAATATGTTTAAAAAATGGGACATGTGTTACGAATGCCTAACCACCGACTGCCTCGACGAGCTATGCTTTGTAGTGTGGGAATAGGTTGGAAGAAAGTTAGGGGCGGCCAGACCAAAACACGGCACAAATCCATGAAGTCACTGACAAGTGGACTGAGTCATGTTGGTAGATGTAGACTACCTGGTTGGGGTCCGCGAGACGAAAGTCACCAATGGTTAGAGACCTTGAGCGACATGGCTCAAAACCGTTTGCAATGGCGCAAATGCATCCACTCTTTGAGCTCTCTCAAATCCTAATCTTCTGGATTAGCTAGCACTTCTACCTTTGTCTTTCTAACCTTATCTGACTGAATTATACTTCATGAATAATATCTTCGAACCCTAGTCTTCTTTATTAACATTAATACCTTTACTATCTTTATCACTATGGGATTTGATTTGACATTTGCGTCTCTGTGCTAATGTGGTATGGCAACATGAACTGATGTACTATTTCTCAGTTTAATAATTGGTTTGAAATTGATACGCTCGTCAATTGATATGCTTGAATGCTATTCACGAGTTCACCTTATTCGGTAAACGAAAGCGAAGACAAATGATCCAGTGACACGATAGGTTTTTGTGATTCGATTGTCTCCGACACTGCTAACGATATCAAACATCTTGATATGGCGTTGAAAGTTTATTCTACAAGCACCCAGAAAATATGAGGTTCACAAGCATACAAATCGAGTTTATTTATACATGATGGAAACTACCTTGGGAGAGCCACAAAAATAGCGTACTAAAATATCACACCAACCAATGACGGTCAAGAATTTTCCGGGTAGGAAATGTAATCTCAAGGTTGCTTGATTAACCCATGCTCGAAAACATAAAATCCGAAATCAAGACCTTTGTCAGGGCAGTTCTGTGAATCTAATGTCCCCAACAGAAATACAATGAACAGATTATACTATGTGTGATTAGAAAAATGTTAGTTCTATAAGAATATTTATTAATTGTGCAATTATCCACACATACAAAGTTTAAACAAGAATAAAACTGCTTCCAACTAGAACAGTTTACGATAAATAAAATCTTTCAAACTATCCATGTCATTGTTTTTTGTAAATAAGAAGACAATTTATTACATGTTGTAAAATCAAACTTTTCATCAAAATACCAAAAACAATAATACATTAATTGCCCTATCGAAATACCTCACACATTGAATTTAATTCAGTATTCAATTTTAGGCATGAACAAATTACAAAAATGCAAATTCAGTGGGAACTGCTGATCAACTGACTATCCTTTTGAATTTACCTTTAACACCTCAATTGAAATAAGCTCCAAATCAAAACAGTTTTATCAATAAATGAATTGACTGTATCATAGGCTAATTGGGAAAAAACAATTCACCTTTTCATTTTAACCTGAATAGTTTTACTTACAGAAGGTGCTAAAAGTTTCTCGATCAATCGAATACCATCAACAATATTTTCATCTTCACCAGCTGCATGTACAGCATTTACCCTCAATGCAAGTCGATGAATAGCACTTTCAGCTTCAACCAGTAATGCATGATCGGCATAATCTTTCGGTGTTGATTCCAATAAACGCTAAATAAATAAGTAGTGAAACAAAGTGAAAATCAAATTTTTTTTAAATGTCATTCACAGGGATCGATTGAATGGAACTGACATTCTGACAAGTGACTTCAAGTTTTCTTATTAGGTACAAAGTTTATATATATATATATATATATATATATATATATATATATATATATATATATATATATATATATATATATATATATATATATATATATATATATATATATATATATATATATATATATATATCAGAACCCATCGATTTATGTGATGACAACATGCTGTCGATTCAGCAGTAAAATATGTAGATATACAAACAAAATGTGGGAAAGCAAGGACCTTAATATCCAATTTACAGAGATCAGGAGACCAAGTTTTAGCAGTGAATAACCTAAAAATGGGAACCCCATTATGTGGACAGTATAATCATTTTTCAATTATAGCTGTGGAGAATAATGGTTTTTACCCACCGAAATCATCAATCGATCATTGTGAGACCAGCAGCATTAGAAACCTGGAAGTACTGAGAAATGGCCGTTTCGTCGTGGTATGAGTTCCATACCAGAACGAATCCACCGTCCAGAGCCTCCAGGTTTCTAATGGTAGTCTAACAATGAATTATTCATGATTTCAAGGTGAAATTACTTTCAATAACTAATGTCAATAGAGTAATGACAAACTATATACACGAATAAAGTCTTGAGTTCAATTTTCATTGAGGCTATAGATACTCAAGGTTTGAAAGTCCTTTTCCAATAACTTTAAACATTTGAAATTATCAACCAATCATTGTTAGACCACTTTTAGAAACCTGGAAGCACTGGACGGCCGTTTCGCCCTGGTATGGGACTCATCAGAAGTGCGCATCCATGATTCCTGTACCTCGCAGGATTCGTAACCATGACCTTCCGTATTGTGCGCGAACGCCTAACCATCGGACCATCCAACGGTGTTGATGTCTAACTCTGATTTATCTAGGGATTTCGCGCGACCTCACCCATTTACCTTTGGTAGTTACTGCCTACACCCGGCAGGGTTGAACTCCATTGGTCACGTCTTCTCAACTAGAACTCCTAGAATTTGCTCACGAAGCTAGTCACTAGTGAGCACTGTTACGATATTTTGGGGCACAGTTTTGGAGGTTTGCTTGCAGGTTTCTAATGGTGGTCTAACAATGATTGATTGATGATTTCAAATGTGTAGAACCGCGAACCTCCAAAAACTGTGCCCCAAAAAAAACTTAACAACTGTCCAATAATATCTAGGTTTTCAATGTTTCTGTAACTTAGATTGATACATGATTTCAATGGCATTTAGATTCGTTTTACTGCTGTTTTGATACTTGCTATAACATTTATTGCGTCATAATCTTTATCGTTTATGCTGATGTTACATTAATTGGGCTTCCATGTGTGTGTGTACAGTAAGTAATTAAGATTACTTCCATTTTTTAGAAAACTGATATCTGCATGTATGTAATTTTTTTACAAACAACTTATCGATATCAAACATTTTAATTATTCAAAGTAATGTGCATATGAGAGGATTATAATTGAGAAAAAAAGAAATTAAATTAATTACATTCATTCTATGACGTTGAATTATTTTTGTTTTTTTAAACAAAACCAAAGTGTTTACAATGAACTAGGTGTATCACTCTTCACTTCGCTTTTTTTAGACGTTATTTATGATCTATTTTTACCGAAACAACTGTGAATAGATTCGCAGAGAGTTGTGGAAGTTTATCAATATCTTAAATTGCTTGTGCTTCAAAGGAGCATAGACCACCCACCAGTATTCTCCAACCAACTCTGTTCTAAGCTTCCCTTTCTAGTCCTTTCCAAATTTTGTTTATTCTTCTCTCTGTTTCTCGGTGTAATGTGTTCTTTGGCCTTCCTCTTTTCATTTTGCTTTGAGGGTTCCATGTGAGGGCTTGTCTTGTGACACAGTTTGGTGCTTTTCGTAATGTGTGTCCTATCCACTTCCACCGCTTCTTCCTGATTTCCTCCTCCACTAGAATCTGGTTTGTTTTCTCCCACAGTACATTGTTGCTGATGGTGTCTGGCCAACGAACCCGAAGTATTTTGCGTAGACAACTGTTAATAAACACTTGTATCTTCTGGATGATGGCTTTGGTAGTTCTCCAAGTTTCTACTACATGCAGTAGAACAGTCTTGACATTTGTATTGAAAATCCTGATTTTAGTGTTGATTGATATTTGTTTGGAGTTGCAGATATTTTTCAACTGTAGAAATGCAGACCTTGCTTTTCCGATCCGCGCCCTCACATCTGAATCGGATCCGATGGCTGATAGCTCAATAATACCATACTGTCGTACTTTCATAGAGTGATTTCCTCCATAAAAGTTTTTGTTATAATATTCTACTTTTCAACTGATAAAAATAAATGGTAAAACTCACTTTTACAAGTAATTCATATCGAGGTATCCGTTGAACTGGTTGTACAAGAAGTGCTTTCAATGGAAGTTTATTTCGATTCATTCGCAGCTTCATCTAACACATAAGAAATATGAAAGGACTCTTGATAAGCAAAATGTTATTTATCAGTCGGTAAAACACAACAATAATTTAATCTAAATAGTGAATCAACACTATCACTGGAAAGCTGTTTCGTCCTAGTATGAGACTCTTCAACAGTGCGCGTCTATGAAACCCAATTGTGGGGATCGAACCTCAGACCTTCTGTCTCGTACGCGATTCCAGAGTGTGGAGGTCGTGGATTTGCACTGCTGATGAGTCCCATACTAGGAAGAAACTGCCGTCCGATGCTTCCAGGTTTCTAATAGTAGTCTAACAATGATTGATTCCCCGTTTCAATGTGCAACAACAATCTCCTTACCTCTATAATGAAAAACATGATAATCATATTTAGATATGTACCTTCTTATTCATGATTCATGTTTCCTGACTTTCTTGTATTCTCAGTTTTGATATTGAAATATTTACACATTATTTACTTAATAATGTACATTTCCATCGTGGGTATATATCAACAAAGAATACGTAAAACATCATTTGTCAGCTGGAAAAGTATGGTATTTATATAATGGTTAATTTTATGATGTACATAATTTGTAAGAAACGTTCATGATTACAATGTTGTTTTGCAGACGATAACTGATGAAATCAATATTGGTTCCTAATATTTGGTGTAAAATCAACATAAAAGATCACAATTGAATCGATCAATTGGCTACAGATCAATGAAATCAGGTTGAGACATCAGTTGAGATAACATTTTGACTGTGTTTCCAGTCTCTTCAATCAGTTTGTATAAGAATCGACAAGATATATGAATGGACAGAATTAACCTAATTTTAGGACATCATGTTGACTGTTGATCAAATCAGGATCAATATCATAATTAACGGATACAAATACTCGTCTTCCGATTAGTTCAGACATTTCGCTAAGACCATTTGAAGTGATTTTTTTTATGGTGTATAATTTATGGAATTCACATGTAAAAAGAGTCTGTGTTAAACGAACGTTTTGATCAAACTCCCAATCAATAAATCCTCTAAGCCAAATCAACCATTAGGGATTGTTGGGTATGTTAGATCCCCAAAACTCGCTTGATTAATGCCTTATTTTGGATTTCTCGTTTGCGAGCATGGGCTGGATCAGTTCACCTTGAGATTTCATTTCCCACCAGGAAAATCCATGGCTGTGATTGGCTACTGTGTATTTTAGTGTGCTATTTTCGTAACTGTCCCAAGGACGTTTCTATGATGTATAAATAAACGAGAGTTGTGTGCTTGATTGTATTGTGATTGCTGAGTGTTTGTAGAATATACTTTCTACGCTTACAAGGCCTTCTTACTTTAGTTGGGGATTCAAGGTAGCCTACCTGAACTCTGGTAATTGTCTCGTTCGCATTTATCGACTAAGGTAAACTCGTAATGGCCTCAAGCATACTTAGTGACGAACTTATCAGGGATGACTCTTAAATGTAGATGCTTCTACTGATGATAGGTGGCAGCCAGCATTGGAGTTCAGGATGTACATTTCGTTCGTCAGCTAGAAGTACTTGCAATTCAGTGTAGATGTGAACATTGTTACTTGAACTCAGTACCTTTCACTTGAACAACTAAAGAGTTATCCAATGAAGTATTAAGTTAAGTTAGTTACTAAATCTTAAAACTGAATGGTAAAATCAATGGAATCTGTTTAGATCATCAACTATAAGTCAGTGCAAACGCTAAGAAAATAGCTTTATTTTAATTAAAATATCTCTCTAACTGATTTCCTAATGGTCATTATAAATTCACTTGTGTGAACAGTGATAGAGAAAGTTGAAAATATGCGTTAAACTGTCTAATACAGGAATGTGAGAGAAAATGCCCGAACAGCGTTTATAATAATTACAACTAATTGAATTACTTTCGAGCTTATCTCATGCAAATCATCTATGGAATGCTGATGTTTATATAGAAATATATATATAAAAAAATTGTAACACGATAAAATTGTTATTTTAATCAATTGATATTCTCAGGGTTTGAAAAAAAGGAGTTGAAAAAGTACAATGAAGCAAGAAAATAGCTACCTCTAAGCGATTTTACAATTATTTACGTCTCTATAAAACACACATACCAGGACGAAACAGCCGTCCAGTGCTTCTAGGTTTCTAATGTTAGCCTAACAATGATTGATTGATGATTTCAAATGTGTAAAAACACTAATCTCCAAAACTGTGCCCCAAAATATCGTAACAGTGCTCACTAGTGACTAGCTTCGTGAGGAAATTCTAGGAGTTCTAGTTGAGAAGACGTGACCAATGGAGTTCAACCCTGTCGGGTGTAGTAGGCAGTAACTATCAAAGACAAATGGGTGAGGTGGCGCAAAATCCCTAGATCAATCAGAGTTAGACATTAACACCGTTGGATGCCGGCCTAATAGTCCGATGGTTAGGCGTTCGCCTACAATGCCAAAGGTCCCGGGTTCGTATCCTGCGAGGAGCAGGAGTCATGGATGCGCACTGCTGATGAGTCCCATACCAGGACGAAACGGGCGTCTTGCAGTGCTTCCAGGTTTCTAATGGTGGTCTAACAATGATTGACTGTTGATTTCAATTGTGTCAAAATGCCTACCTACAAAACTGTGCCCCAAAATGTATTTCTTATGAAAAGTTTTGAATTCCCAAAATGAAAATATTTGTTCAAATAAAATTTATTCTCATCAATGGAAGGATTTGGAGAATGATTTAAAATGTGTCGTGTTATCTATCAGTTAAAGTAATTTCTCTCAGTGTAAGTATACGGATTTGACATGTTGGAGAATATTAGCAGCTTAGGTGAATTTATTTTGATGATATTTTATCTTATGAGTTGGATATGTCAATCGGAAATGTTTTGTAGTCATTCTGGACATCTTTGGTGACTACGTCATATCCACGACGGCAAAGAAAACTTCTTGACTATACTGTTCAGCTCAAAATATATAAAAATATCAGAAATGATTACCAGGATATACTACAAATTAACCATAAATGTCAGCTTCTGCCCAAAAATTTCAATCAAACATTTAATAGTTAAACGTATATTAAGTAAATGACTAAATTAAGACTGTAAAGTAGTTGTTAAACACATATAACAGTATATTACATCACTAAAAAGGGTTAGATCTTTCTGTACGTAATTTATTAAAATATTTAGAAATGAACTTTATGACCACTTTTCAATAGTCTTCTACATGAACAGCGAATAAACGATAACCAGAAATTACGAAATAGATATTTCGTATTAGAATGAGACTGCTCAACCATGTTCATTGATGAGTTAACAAGGAATGAAGCTCAAGAAGAGTTTGATCAGCGATTGAATATCTAATAGCCTGCTTACATTTCTAACTTTAATCTACTGTCAAGACTGGCCAACTATCTCATATCATTGATGGGTAATTTCCTCCCACTTGGGACGGTGCACCTTCAGTAGTCATTACTTTTCATCTCTCAAAGTTAGTTACAAGTGAGCAAATCACCTTCTGTACATGAAATTCATCGAAATCGTGTTTACAAAATTACACTCACAAAAAGAAAATGATGCGGAATGGAACCATCATCAAACGCAAAATATATTCCTAATTACTAATGAATTATTAAGTCATATGACCAAGAAGTAATTCGAAAACATTTAGTGCGAAAAATGACGTTAGTTTATCCCAAAAGGTCTTTTAAAAAGACTGTTTCGAATAAATAATAATAAGTTCATCATCAATCACAACGTTACCTTGTCCGTTTGATGTAGTAGTAGTTATAAAGCAACTATTGAAAACTAAATTAACTACAATGTTTATATCACATACTTGTATTATTAAATTACATTCCTGTAATCTGCTAACTCATTTGCAGTGCAGGAACAAAATTGACTGAACATAACATACATGTACAATAACTAATCAGTTAATAATCGATATAATTACTGTAATATGTTTTCTTCAAAATAATACTTTCCTGTTTGTAGTAAATGTCAAGGTTATATTAGTTTGTTAGCCACTCATTCAACAACCTTCCCAACATCTTATAAACACAGTCATCAAGTGCTTACTGGCAAAAAAATTTGTGAGATATTTTCCAGAGTTACAATAAAAATTAACGTTCAGTGGGGTTAAACTATGTGGGGTAGATATCACTAGTGATGATCACTAATAGTCTTGCAATATAACAGACTGACTGAAATAAAAAATCTAAGTTGCTAGGTACAAACTACTCAACATGAAATTCATGGGTTCGATTCCTGGCAGTGACATTAATGTATACATCTACACACAATTAGTCAGTAATTTAAAACTGCGAATCGAATAATTTTCGCAATACTCTTTATTATTGTTCCAAGTAATATTTGCATTTTGCTATATAATATAATGGGGGTCATTGTTTTACAATGAAATCTCGAATCGATCAACGTTAGACCGCCATTGGAAACTTGGAAGCACTGGAGGACTATTCCGTCCTGTTGTGTGACTCATCAAAAGTGTGCATCAATGACTCCTGCTACTCGCAGAATTTTAAACCAGGATCTTCAGTCTTGCATATGAACGCTTAACCTCTTGACAAATGAGCCGACATTCATCAGTGTTAATGTCTAACCATGATCGATCTAAGGATTTCGCGCAACCTCATCGATTGTCTTTGTTAGTTACCGCCTTTACCCAACAGGGCTGAACTCCAGTGGTCTCGTCTTCTCACTAAAACTCCGAGAATTTTTTCAACGAAGCTGATATGTCCCATACCATGACAAAACACCCGTCCAGTGCTTTCCGGTTTCTAATGGTGGTCCGACACTGATTGATTAACGTTTCCAATGTAACATTTATTTGTCACAAACTGTAAGCAACAATTCACAATACATTTATTTGATTCTCATAACATTTAAATTTCATTCACCAACAAATTTCCTACAGAAAATATCTTTAAAAATCTCCGTCGACTACCGTCTTCACCTTTGTTTATTTGAATGTGACACTGGGAGATAAAAAACTGATGTTATAATTATTTTTAATTATACGAAAGTCGGCTATTGTTTTGAAGAAAATGAAACTTTTTATCAAATGTCATGGTTAAACTGTTTTAGTCATACCAATCAATATAAATTCAAGATTGTTTTCTTCCGAAATTCAATTTGACCAATTCATACATACATCATGTTCTAAGGCTTATAAAATGCCAAATGTACTTCAACTTATTAAAACATACTTAGAAATAATGAAATATGATTTTTCTGCTTAAAAGTCTGTTCATCTTTGAAAAACTCCACGCAATAAATATGTCAAAATAAATAACCCTTGACATTTGAATAATGTTATTTTGATAAGTCACAATTTTTCATGGTAATTTCATAAAATATTCACTGGTACATTGAAAGTAAACGAAATAAAATTTATTAGTTTGTATATGTTGTTCTGCATAGATATTTAACTGATAATTGTAAGTGTTATCATTTTCAAGATAAACTGAGTATTGCGGGAATGATTTAAGGAAGGATCAAACATGTATTCTCAACCAAAGCAAAGTAAAATCCTTTCCTGGTGAAGTTCCGTTGTCTGAGGTAGATGTTTTGGTTGTGCAGCTTTCATTGTTCTTCTGCTGAACAATCCAAGCTCCACAACCGAAAAAATCCGGCTCAGAGAACGAAACTCTATCACAATAAATCAGCTGAGCTAAAAATTTTCGGCACAATCGTAAAACCCTCTATTTTAGACACAGCTGCCAAAAATGTATGATTCTATGTGGAGGATGAACAAACTGGTTACAATGTGCAGGAGTCAAGAGATTCAGTTGTTACGCTGTTATTGTGTTTGTAAAAAAATCTCTTTGAATCTGTGCAAGGCTGAATTTAAGCAACATCTGCTTGACAGAGTATGATCACTTTGTATGAACCGTTAATAAAGTCCAGGTATATATCAATTACCTTAATAACGTGTAAAAAGATGCATTACGAAATTGACCTGATCATAATTGTATGACTTTAAATCAAACATGTTATAACGAAGCAACGGAAACAGGAATAATGTCAAGATACGATGGTGATCATATGCCATGTGATGATGACGTGTGTTATTTGACGGTGACCCTAGTAATTACCTTTATAGATACCCAGTGCAGCGATCTATATATGACATCTTTTCCTTAGTGTTAAGTTTTCTATCTTATATTGTTGCAGAAAAGTGTTATGCAGCTGACGAACTGTTTCTTCAAGGTCTTACACCAGTTTATCTAAAGTCATGTTTCTTGTTCAAAAACAATTCAGGTTAACTGACTTGATAGGATTTTCCTACATACATTGTTATGATTGAAAGTAGTCATATTTTTGTTTTCAAAAAGCACATAATTTCTCAATTATTAATAGTAATAATTGTTATGCTTGTCTCTACGTATGCTTAAAACTATTACGGGTTCACCTTAGTCGAATAACCATAACAAAACAATGAACCAAAGTCCAGGTAGGCTACTGGGATCCCTTAACCCAACTGTATCAACAAGAAGTCTTGATATAGTGTAGAAAGTGTATTCTACAAACACCCAGACAGCACACAATGAATCCAAGCACTAAAAATTGCATTTATTTATACTCCATAGAGACGTCCTTGGGACAGTCACAAAAATAGCACACTAAAATGACACATTAACCAATCACGGCCAAGTATTTTTCCTGGTGGGAAATGTGATCTCATGGTCGACTGATCGATGCATGAAATAAATTCAAAATAACAATAATGATCAAGCGAGTTCTGGGGATCTGACTTCCTCAACAATAATAATAATTCAATTAAATCATACAAAGATATTCTTATCATTAACTTACTTCACAAAATTTTTGAAATGATGATTTTGTATTCCAACAAGTTTCTAGAGTTTTTTCCGAATTAGAAAAATTATCTACAAATGTACAATAGCACATTGCAACGGCTTCACGAGAAAACTGACATTAGAAATAAAAAGAAAAAAGGAAGTACATAAAAATTAGGTGGAAGCTACTTTTTTTAATTATTAGAAAAATGGTAAAACATTGTTTATTTTCATTTTAATCTTACTTGTTAATTCAATGTTCTGCCAAGTTGTGAATAATTTTGAAAAATAGGTTCATCTATCTACTGATGCCTAAGTTATAAACATACCAGTAAATTAACAGGACTTCATCTTTAGTTGTATCATGATGAACAAAGTCAAATAGTAAGTTAAACTTAGATCTAAGGTATCCTGTTGATTTGTCGTCAACAATCTTATATCAAGAACATTACATAGAGCAAGGTCGTGTCACTCATTGACCGTAGTAAGAGCAATGAATCTATACCGCTAACGACAAAATGAATGTGAGGTTAGCTACTACTCACTTACCATTAAATATGCATATAAATGTATTATACAGCACATCTTTCATTTTGACCCTGAAGACAACATATTATATATTGCTGGAATCTTGAATCAATCATTGTTTGACCACCATTAGAAACCTAGAAGCACTTTTGCGAGTTGCAGAAGTCGTGGATGCACAGTGCTGATGAGTCCCATACCAAGACGAAACAGCCATCTTTCAGTGCTCCCAGGTTTCTTATGATGACCTGACAATGATTGATTTATGATTTCAGGAATAAACATCAATTTGCACAACCGTATAATGAAAAACGTCCTACATGTTATGTAATACAATTCAGGACAAATAACTCATTCTGATAGGCTTTTTGTATTCTCTGTACATTGGTCAGGGTGAATGTTGCCCTTAGTATGATATCTCTGCTCGTCCGTTATAGTCAGTTTAGTAAAGAAGAACAGATCACATAACCGGTCAGACATAAAACACTGAGTATTCGTACTGATGGTATCAAGAGTTTGGAGAAAGAATAATTTATTGAATCAACCTATTTAGAATTGATCAAGTTATTAAAACTTAAAGAATCAAAAAATCATTCAAATGTTTACGATTTTTAAACTGTGAAACTGTCTTTGTAGTGTAATCTTTTAATTATCTGGTAGATAATGCAGGCATTTTAGGGGCGAATTTTGTTTTCAAAACAGTTTTACTTGGTTCTTGAGGTTTGCAGGTGGAAATCTCAAAACTTAAGATTTACAACAAGGTTTCAATGAAACCTGAAAGCACAGGACGGCCGTTTCGTCCTAATATGCGAGTCATCAGCGGTGCACATCCATGACTCCCGCTCGCGGGACTCGAACCTGCGACTTTCAGTCTTGAATATTTTTCGGTTTGTAGGATTTGAAGTTAACATTTCTTCAAGGTTCAAGCCAATAATCATGTTTATCCTAACGCACTGTTAATAACAATTTACAAAATCATTTTCAAACTACATAGTTTAGACACAGATCAAAGTTGACTGAATTTAAAAATAGATAGGCAAGAAATTTTGAGGATAATCTTGAAAACAATGATTTAAAAATATACAACATATTATCCACTTCATTTCGACAAAAAGTTTTTTACGTGAACACTGAAAATTGTTTCATCCTTTTAGGTTCATTTTCTTTAAAACCATTTCATTTCACATCTCATTACTTGCCTATACAATGTAGATACAGTCACATTATATTTTCTGCAAGTACATATTTACAAAACAGGTGTTAACATTACATTGCACTACATTACATGTAACAAGTGCACATTGTTTCAAATGTCTTACAAACACAAAGTATTTACCTACAAAAAGGATGGAAATTACTGAAATTTCTAACGAGTTGATTAGTGTTTAAGTAGTATGTAAAGTCATTATTGACTTTTTTATATGTCAAGATAATAATTCAGAAGATTAATAATAACAGTTGAAAAGCTAACTGACGTGATAGAATTTTTCTTGCTTCAAAACCTAGTTAGTGATTATTTAGATTCATATGAGGGTTGAAGTAATTTTTTCGATTTGAGAGGTGTACTTTTCAAACAAAGACACTTTTCCCCAGTGTAGACTTGTCATTAAATTGTTTTAAACTATGATATACAAGTCAGTAGATTCTACGCAACATTAGAACTCATCGCGAATCTACTGACTTGTGTATCATGGTTTACAACAATTTAGTGACATGTATCCTTTTCTAAAAAATAAGCCTCTCAAATCGAACAGAAAAACACTTCAACCCTCATATGAATGTAAATAATCGCTAACTAGGTTTTGAAGCACACAAAATCTATCAAATCAGATAGCTTTTCAACCGTTTTATCAATTTTCTGCAACATTTCATGACATCATGGTTAACTATTGAAATGAATATAACATATACATGTTATATACATATACATGTTTGCCGAAATTTCTTGTTTCTCGCTAAAATAGCCTAATAACTAAACAAATATCTAGTAGTCATTATTTAAAGCCAAGCAAAAACTACACACCACAAGATATATGTTGGTGTTTTTACCTTGTTCAACTGTCAATTTTACTTTTCGTCAATACAGTAAAAAAAGAAGAAATCTTTGATCAATGATATGTGTGTGATGCTTTTTACATCTATCTGATAATTTCACATCTGGTTAATTGATGATAGGCTGACATATCAATATTCTTCTTCAAAACTAACAGCTGTGATGTAAGATTTAATTTGTAAATAATTATAGTGATTAGAGGATGTTTTTTTTCCTCTCTAATTTACATTTTTATTTAAATTGTTATACAATACAAATTCAATTGAGATTTCATCATTTGTATTTAGGAAATAAATATGATGATTGATAAATATATGTACATATATATATATATTCGTTAAACTAATCCAGCTGCATGATGTGTACAACAAAAAACAACCCCACTTCTTTTCTTTGATTGAATTTCAAAAGTTCAATCTTTCCACTGAGTTATAAACAGCTTGATAAATTGTGGTATATCATTTGTATAAAAATAGATATCTGTAATTGATGAAGTGACTGGTTTTTGGACAGTGCAAAGTCATATGGAGAAAGCGAATACTACTTCTAATTTTTCAAAAGTTGAATATCAGTTTTTTTGAATTTTTCACAATCTTACAAAGTAATTTTAGAGATTCTCATATCTATTGATTTCAGATTTTGTAAGAATAAGTCTTTATTATTTTGAGCTGTCAAATTTATTTCCTTGATGAGTATTTTTATGCATTTCATTAGATTTTGAAAATGCTCAATTAGAGTGATGGGGATTAGTGTTTTTACACATTGTGGAAATCATCAATCATTCAGTGTGTAAAAACACTAATCTCCATAATTCTAATTGAAAATATCGTAAAATGTGCTCACTAGTGACTGGCCTCGTGAGGAAATTCTCGAAGTTCTAGTTGAGAAGACGTGACCAGTGGAGTTCAACCCTGTCGGGTGTAGGCAGTAACTACCGAAGACAAATGAGTGAGGTTGCGTAAAATCCCTAGATTGATCAGAATTAGACATTAACACTGTTGGATGCAGGCCCAGTGGTCCAGAAGTTAGGCGTTGGCGCTCAATAGCGAAGTTTAGGAGTTCGAATCCTGAGAGGTGCAGAAGTCGTGGGTGCGCGCTGCTGATGAGTCCCATACTAGGACGCGACGGCCGTCCAATGATTCCAGGTTTCTAATGGTGGTCTAACATTGATTGATTGATAGTTTCGAATGTGTAAAAGTTCCTTAAACTTGAAGCATTAGTATCGTTTATCTTAACTTTGGCCAGTCCACGTAAAGAAAACGTTTTGACCATATTTCTTACCATATTTCCTACACTTTGTGTGTAGCAAAGATTTGCTATAACATGATTGTGAAAAATTCAATTGAAACTGTACATTTTGATAGAACAGTAAGAAGACGTAATTGATCTGAAAAATCTTGTGATGTATTTGCGCTGTACATTTTGAACAACCTGATCACACATATACTTACTTGTCAATGCATTTTATATGAAGATGAATAAAAGGTCAATTAAATAAAAGTTCAAATAGGTTATCATTGTAAATGAAGGAGTGAGAAAATTAACGTCATATAAAAAAGAATAAGAAAGGGTCGGAAAATGTCACATTATCCTACGCTTATCGCACTGTTTCATTCTTTCCGATTAGAAATATATTGTACTTTCAGTAAACTATATACTTTACATTATCGAATCAGTTATCCAACCTTTTTTTTGAACGGGTTTTTAAAGATCTGTCATACATTATTAAATCAACAACGTTAAAGACAATAAATTTCGGTTTTGAAACATGAATTCACGTTTTATTTTGTCTGTTCTGACAATACTACTGATATCGTCATGAAACATACTGAATTATTATAATATCATCTATAAAAAAATTCTATAATGACTTTACATACTACTTAAACACTAATCAACTCGTTAGAAATTTCAGTAATTTCCATCCTTTTTGTAGTTAAATAGATTGTGTTTGTAAGACATTTGAAACAATGTGCACTTGTTACATGTAATGTAGTGCAATGTAATGTTAACACCTGTTTTGTAAATATGTACTTGCACAAAAAATAATGTGACTGTATCATCATTGTATAGGCAAATAATGAGATGTGAAATGAAATGGTTTTAAAGAAAATGAACCTAAAATGATGAAACAATTTTCAGTGTTCATGTAAATCACTGTTTTCGAGATTATCTTCAAAAATTTCTTGCATATCTGATTTCTAGTGTAGTGTACTGAGTCCCAATCAATGTTTAGTAGCCTAAATATTCACAATGAATTGCAGCTAAGTGTACATTCATGATAATTTTGGGATAGTGGAGAAAATTTGTACTTCATACGGATGATTATGGTGGTGTTTCGTTCTCTGAGCTGGATGTTTTGGTTTTGGAGCTTTCAATGTTATTCTGAACAGAACAACAACTTCAGATAGCAGAAGTGAAGCATTTGAATTTCTCCATGTTTGAACCATACCTTGTTCTGTTAACCTCGATCTTGATTAGGTGTAACTGACATTAAACCCGTTGATAGTATCCCCCTTCGATCTTTTCCTTGATCCTATGTTTGCCTATGATCTTACTGGTCGATTGATAAATTAAGTCAATGTCGATGTGTTTGCTGATTGCTGATTGACTTCAGTACTAAGGTTCTATAAATTCTCTTGTGTTCTTTATCATCACAAAATCAACTGCGTACAAGCGTTATTCAAGAGAGAGAAGACACTGCAGCACTTATGAAGCACAAAAAATGAAGAAAAACATTTAATGACCATCTTTCATAAGAACGGCTATCCATGCGACTTCATTAAAAATGTCAACTGAAATCGTCAACAAAAGCCGAATCAAGTGCAGGAACCAATAAACGGATCATTAAACCATACATAAAAGATAAATCGGAGCATACAGCACGACTACTGAGATCATTTGGAATAGGTGTGGCACACAAACCAACAAAATCACTTCAATCAATCCTATGTAGACCAAAGAACAAAATGACAACTGAAGAAAAATAAAATATCATCTACAAAATAAATTGCTCAGACTGTGAAAAACACTACATAGGATAAAGTGGACGGCCTTTTCAGTTTCGTTTACGTAAACGCCAATTAGCCGTCAAACTCTATGACATTTCTTCCCTTATATCAACACGTACGGACAACAATTGACATACGTTCAATTGGAACAATATTGAAATACTGAATAGAGGTAGCACAAAGAGTACTAGAGAATTTTTAGAAGCTTAGCACTCAGGTCAATCAACAATCAACAAACACATCGATTTGACCTAATTTATCAACAGAACAGCAAGATCATAGGTAAACAAAGTATCAAGAGCCAGATCGATGAATGATACAATCAAACAAACAACGACAGTTTTGAGGTCAACAACAACCAATCAAGATCGAGGTTAACAGAACAAGTTACAGGTCAAACATGGAGATATTCGAATACTTTATTTCTATTTGAAGTTTGTGCTGATGATGTTGTTCTGTTCAGAAGAACAGTGGAAGCTCCACAACCAAAACAACCAGCTCGCATTCATAATATGTGCAAAACTATCTAGTACTTCATGCTTACTAACCAAATATACAGTCGGAAATGTTTTATAAACCAAATTTCTTTTCTTTATCCTAACCATTTTTAATGTTGTGCATAATTAAAATTTAAATAAAATCATTTACCATATCGAGTAGTTTATCGCCAACTGTATTTGTTAATTCCCACATTTGAAGAGTATTTAAAAAACTCATATGATACATGAGTAATTCTTGAACTTTAAAAAATATTGTATCTATTTGTTGATCATCGAGAATTTTCTCTTGTCTCAATGGGATCATATAAGCCTAAAATGTTGAGAAAATATAGAAGAACAACATGAAAATGTATAAGAAATATAGATTTATATACGACAATATTATAATTAATTATTTTCAGAAAAATGTACTACTAACTGTTTAATAGTTTCAGCTTTCCTTACAGTTCCGAATCCACCAGCAAGTGAAAACAATCAGTGTAACAGTAGCCTCTGTAGCAGTAGGTGTCAACGTGCACAAAGGTGAAAAACGAAATTCCCCGATACAATATAACATGAGCGAACCAAATCACACTTGACGGGAAAGCTTTGAATCATGTAAAAACCTTTATATGATCTGGGCAGTAGCATTGATGAGGGGATATGGTGCTGATGTGAAGGCAGAGATTGGGAAGGCAAGGGCTGCATTTCTACATCTGGAACAATTGACTGTGAAACAACACCAAAGTCATATTTTCAATACAAATATCAATACAGTTCTACTCTATGGAGCGGAAACTTTGAGAACTACCAAATCCATCATCCAAAAGATACCAATGTTTGTTAACAGTTGTCTGTGCAAAATACTTCGGGTCTTTTGGCCATTAACCACCAGCAATAACCTGCTATGGGATAGAACAAGCCAGATTCTGGCGGAAAAAGAAATCAGAAAAATCACTGGAATCGGATAGGACAAACACATTGAGGAAAGCGCCCAGTTGTGACACAAGACAAGCTTTTACTTGGAATCCACAGGACTAGGGAAGCAGGAAGAGCGAAGAACAGGATACGCCCAGAAATGTAGACAGACATGGGAAGAATGGACAACATTTAGACAGAACCAGAAAGTAGGGCACATGACAGAGCAAGTTGAAGAATGCTGGTCAGCGGCCTATGCTCCACTAGGGGCAACAGGAGTCCGTTAATAAGTAATCATTCGGTTGAATAAAAATTGCTAGAAATGTCTTTAGTTTAAGGTGAATATTGTTGATAAAAATCAATTCATCAGTCATCTATCCTACCGTTTTGAAGTGTATAATTAAGATCGACTATTGAGAAATGGTCAGTTAACAGTTAGGATAAATACGGGTTTAAAAAAGCGAGCAACTGCTTTTGGGTCCATTAATAAATGTTTGATTTTTTTCGTTGCTACCTCTTGTCTGTTTCAAAAGAAGGCATAATTTAATGCCTTTAGTTTTTCAAATATTCAGTTTGAGGTGTATAGATATTGCAAAACATTTCGAAGCAGATTAATGTCTACTAGGATAATGAAAACTGTTGAGGTGGGATTACTCGAGAGGGAGAGATAAAATATAGATTTTTGAATTTAATATTGTTGATTTAGTTAGGAAACTGAACTAAAATCGCATCACTTAAATGTTACTAATTTGGGATATTTACATTCCATCAATGAACTCCACCCGGAACACCTCTGTGGCTATTGCCTATCCTAAGCCTTGTTAAATGCGGCTAGTGACCCCATGCAGTATTAACCTAACTAGATGAAAATCGTTAACGAGGTGGGGGGCCTATGCTCTATTAGGGGTAATAGGAGAAAGTAAGGCTCCCATCAGTGGACTAAATACTCGAGTTTACATTATCATATCAAAATTTAGTATCAAGCATACATAAATTAGGCGAAATTCAAGAATAAATTCTACTTATCTCTTCACATCATTGAATTATCTATTTAAATGGTCTTAGATAGAAATGAAAATCTTTACGCATAAACACTTGATACTAAAAAGTAACAATGTGAAGATTTCTACAATTGTTCACTAGCCTAAACTAGTACATATTCAATCACTATGACTTTTCCAACTTCACATAATTCGAAATGTTAACAAAACATATCAAATGAACATCTAACTATTTGAGTTTATAGATGTAGTCAGCATTTGTGTCGTAAAACTAAACTCATAGATTTTTCTCATTGAAGTACTTTATAAAGAAACATTAAAGATAAACAGCGCATTGAAAGACACATGCATTTATTATAGATACATTTGACAAACTTTATATATGTATTTAGTCAACAATAAAGAATAAAATGTTTCAAAGCCTATTTTCAAATGGCAACATTTTATTATTGCGGTGGTGTTTCGTTCTCTGAGCTGGTTGTTTTGGTTGTGGAGCTTTCATTGTTCTTCTGAACAACATCATCAGCATAAACTTCAGATAGAAGTGAAGCATTCGAATTTCTCCACGTTTGACCTGTAGCTTGTTCTGCTAACCTCGATCTTGATTGGTTGCAATCAAAACAAAGTTGCAAACAACGACAGGTTTAAAGTCAACAGCAACCAATCAAGATCGAGGTTAGCAGAACAAGCTACAGGTCAAACGTGGAGAAATTCGAATGCTTCACTTCTATCTGAAGTTTGTGCTGATGATGTTGTTCAGAAGAACAATGAAAGCTCCACAACCAAAACAACCAGCGCAGAAAACGAAACACCACAAAAATCATCCACCTGAGCTACAAGTTTTCTCCACCATCTCAACATTTTATTATGCTGATTAGCTAATCTAATGAAAACATCAGTTAACACACACTACCTTTCAATCAAAGTTCCAACTCATTCTCCACAAACTATCTTTTTCCGACTGCTTTTTTATTAACTGCACGATCTGACACACAACTAATATTTTGTATACAGCCATCCTCATCACTCATTTGTTGCTTTATATCTCTGTGAGACGTTGAGATATTCAGCTAGACGTGTCACAGATAAACATTTGGTTTAGTGTTTGGACTGTGCGATAGGAAGACGAAAGTTATCATAATTATAGGATATATTTACACAATCTAGTCACATATACTTATTGAGACATTATATTCATAAAAAACATATAAGGTCAACTAGATTAATTCGAAGCGTTAGAGGAAACAAAGAACGATGAAGTACACAATATGAAGACCACTCTGGATAATAGCTTAGTATTGACGATATGGGTTGAGGAAAAGAACAAACTGTTTATAAGCACATAAAAAGGGTTTCAATTAGCTTACTCCAAGGTTTCATTGAACCTTCCACACTCTTGAACATTTTTTGTATAACACTACCAAAGTGAACTTGATATCAGCTCTATATATGATCGATTTCAACTAAATGTTTCACAGGGAAGGACAATCTCTGTTTATCCCGTGATCTTATTTGACAATTGAAATGTATTTGCTTTTGTCATCATTTAGGTATGTATGTTTAGTAGGTATGTGGTGCGCACTACTTATAAGTAGTATATGACGCGAGTGTAAACGTAATGTCTGGCAGCAGAAGATGAGGGAAGATCAAGAAAGGAAGAGTGGGAACACAATGGAATTTGTATGAAACTCATGAATAGTGAAATGTCAGACAATGGATTGATGATTGATTGAAGATTTGCAAATTAACCGGTTACGATATGGTTTTTCTATTTTACTGAGTAACTCTGTAATTCACGATAACTACAATTTGGTTGCCCTCACCTGTGTTCTCCTTCACTACAGGTAGTGAAAAAGTGAATGAGAATGTTTTTATCATGCAGTAACTCAGTCAACTTATTTCTTATCAATATTTACAAACTATTGTATTTTAATTTCCTAACCCTAACTAAAACCAATGTCTAATTTTCATGTTAACGAAACTAAAGCCAACTGTTTGGTGAATATTTTATGCAAACATTCGAGTTTCATGACATCAATATTATAACAAGCTGAAACAGCTGACACATGAATAACGTAAATTATTGCAATAAAGATCACATTATTATTATAAGCCAATTTAAACTAATAATTGGGTAATTATTGGCATTCCTATTATACTCTTTGATTACGTTATATATATAAATATATATATATATACGTTGCCGTCTTCTATGCGCTGGTCACGGATGTGCTTTAGTGAACAAATCCTGGCATTTCTAGTAGTTTTGTTTATTTACCCATAAAAATTAACATTCCACATGAACAACATCATGGAATGATTTTAATTGCTGGTTCGAAGCACCTCCAGGTGGTATCTTTTCATTTCCGCAGCAAAGTGGATGACTTTCTTGGTCTTCTATATTGTAAGAACGTTGCTCTGATTGTCTGGAGGGTTATTGGCCTCATGACTTCCGTAGGACTTAGGCTTTCATCATGAGACGCCACAACTCTTCTAAATGACGACAAACCAACTACCAGGGCAGAGTTTAAAATGGTTTGAATTATTCTTTCTGGTTAGCGTTTCTTTTTGAACGATTTAGTTTTTTATGGTATAGGGTCACCTATCCTATACCCAACCCTTCTCCTTTATCCAGGCTTGGGATCAGCAGTAGCTACAGAGGTACTATAGGCTACCAGTAGAAGCCGAAAAGCACTGAACAGCTATTTCTACCCTGTGTGAGAGTTCCCAGCAGTCAGACATCTTAGAGTTGGATCAAACTTACAGTAATCAGAGTAATTTTGGTTTGGAACTCAGGGAAACTGGAAGCCGTATAATTTTGCACGATTTAAATAACACTACTCAGTCCTGTGTTACTGAGTCCTATACGAGGAGGAAGCACTTACTAACTCACTCACTACCTGATTTTCAGTAACTATTTAACTGAGGTCAATCAGTAATGAAAACAATGAGATTGAAAAAACATTTCATAAACCACTACAGCTACATAATATTCATTGATGATAGTCAGTCAGTCAGTCAGATGCAACGTAGAACTTCGTACGTAAGTACATCAGTTCATGTTGCCATACCACATCAGCACAGAGAAGTAATCATCAATTCAAATCCAATAGTAGAAGAGGTAGTAAAGGTATTAGAAGTAATCGGAGATGTTAGGATTAGAAGATACTATTCTAGAAGCATGATTCAGTGTGAAAAGTTTAGAGAGTGGAAACTAGAGGGGTTGAAGAACTCAGAAGATTAGGATTTGAGAGAACACAAAGCATAAATACACTGGCGCTATTGCGAACGATTTTGAGCCATGTCATTCAAGGTCTCTAACCATCGATTATTATCATCTCGCGGACCCCAACCAGGTAGTCGACAATTACCGACATGGCTAAGTCCACTCGTCAATGACTTCATGGATTTG